CAGGAATATTGCATTCAAATCACCTCTGACAGATGGCCATCCAGCCTCTGTTAAAAAGCTTCCAAAGAAGGAGCCTCCACCACACTCCAGGGCAGAGAGTTCCACTGCTGAACGGCTCTCACAGTCAAGAAGTTCTTCCTCATGTTCAGATGGAATCTCCTCTCTTATAGTTTGAAGCCATTGTTCCACATCCTAGTCTCCAAGGAAGCAGAAAACAAGCTTGCTCCCTCCTTCCTGTGGCTTCCTCTCACATATTTATACATGGCTATCATATCTCCTCTCAGCCTTCTCTTCTTCAGGCTAAACATGCCCAGCTCCTTAAACTGCTCCTCATAGGCCTTGTTCTCCAGATCCTTGATAATTTTAGTCTCCCTCCTCTGTACTTCAGCTGTACTTCATAAAAAAGGGAAATCATCCTGTTTAGTAAGCCTTGAAGATGCTGATTTATTAACAGTAAATGTTTGGTTTTTATAACTATTTTATATACCTATTTACTTAGGGTTATGTAAACATTTCTTGGATGGAAAGGGGTCATGAGTGAAAACCGTTTAAGAATCCCCTGATCTAAGGAACCACAAGGCGACTCTTCATTTATGATGTTTGCTTTCTATATTTGCATATTCTCTGTCTATCATACACAAACACAGACCCAATACTGGAAGAGTGGCTCAGGCTGCTTCCACACAGCCAATAAATCCAAAGCAGAATGTGGAATTATAAGATCTGGTCCACTCTGGAAAGCCTACACAGAACCAGCTGCAATCTTCCATGAAGTCCACACAGAGCCATCAGATCTCTTAATCCGTATTGGCTCCATCAAAACCATGGAGTTTCTCCTCTTACCTAATGACAGGGACAAACAGCTTCCTCGGGCTAGCTTCAGAGGCTGAAGAGGGCTGGAAAAGGATGCAAAAGCTAGTATTCCCATTGGAACACTGTATTTTGATTCCTGGAGACGAGACTCTTTTCGTAATCCAACTTCTCCAGTTTCAGCCCTGCTTTTATTTGCCTTTCCTATTTAGCATCTGGATCCTTCCTTGCCTGGTTTATACACAGGAGGGATCCTGTGGATTTTATAGCTGGAATAGGGATTACTAGGTTCTTGTGGTTTTTTTCGGGCTATAGGGCCATGTTCTAGAGGCATTTCTCTTGACGTTTCATCTGCATCTATGGCAAGCATCCTCAGAGGTAGGGAGGTCTGTTGGAATTAGGACAATGGGTTTATATATCTGTGGAATGGCTGGGGTGGGGCAAAGAGCTCTTCTCTGCTGGAGCTAGGTGTGAATGTTTCAACTGACCACCTTCATTAGTATTTGAAGGCCTAGCTCCAGCAGAGAAGAGCTCTTTGCCCCACCCCAGCCATTCCACAGATATATAAACCCATTGTCCTAATTCCAACAGACCTCACTACTTCTGAGGATGCTTGCCATAGATGCAGGTGAAACGTCAAGAGAAATGCCTCTAGAACATGGCCCTATAGTCTGAAAAAACCCACAAGAACCTAGTGATTCCAGCCATGAAAGCCTTCGACAATACATGGAATAGGGATTTCTGGCGAGTCTTTTTATCACACAGTTTCTGTATGGATGTAAGTTGAGGCTCACATTGGGGAGGAACATTTTGAAAACACCCCAACCTCAAGCTGGTTTCAAGATTTAGGCTTTAGATAGGTCTTCAGAACTGTTATTTTAACTTTCATGATGTGTTGGACTGAAACTGCACCAAGGACATTGTAGAAAATCAAAACGGTGGCTCCGAATCAATGATTCAGTGTTAATCACATTACTTATAGGCACACTAATCCAACAACACCAAATAAGCTGAACATCTACTTTGCCCCAGCATCAGCCTCAGAGTACTGAATTCTGCCCTGCTGTAGTTGCATGGTGTGATGGTTAAATCTGCACACAACTTGCTTAATAATGCCATAAAAAGAACATCCCACCTTTCTCCTCTTGTAAAGCTCAAGATAAATTCATGGGTTTTTGGGTTGTTGGGTTTTTTTTTTGCTCAGAAAGACCTTTGGAGATGTCATCCTCTAAACTGATTAGGCTGCTCTGATTATGGCAAGTATTGAGTCTGAGGCTCAGAGTGATTGATACAGCTGCCACCACCAATTGCGGAGAGGTATCCATGAGCAGCGTGGAGAAAAGAGAAGAGACAATGAAATGATTGCAGCTTTAGCTGCAGCATAGAAATAATCTGGCCAGGATGTAAGATTTTTTTCATTGCCTGGAGTGAAGAACACTTTCATTTCTTTTAATGCTAGTGAGTTATAAGCTGTTAATAGCACCTCATTACTCTGGTAAACTCTGTAACTTTTGCAAGCTGTGGGCACTCTCAGCTTTATCCCTTCTTTTCTACCTCCAAGAACCAAATGTATAAACTTGTTCTAAATGCCTTAACAAAGTGCTACATTCTTTATGTATGAAATTGAAGGAGGGAGGGTCTTTTCGGATTTTGTGCAGTGTGAGAAGAGGGTGTCTCGTGGACTGCAAGCTCTAGAGTAGTGGTCCCCAACCCTTTTTTTTTTCTTTTGACCAGGGACCACTCTCCAACTTTAGTACCAAAAGGGTTACAAATCAGTTTTTGGTCAACTTCAGATTCGGTTTGGGGTGCTGATTCAAAAAATTGCATTGGATAGTCCACATCAGCTCTAGTTTCTGATACAGAACATATTCTGTGGTCAGCAACAGGGAAGGAGTGGCAGGCTGTTTGAAAGGAGCAGAAATAAAATAAAATAAAAAGGAAGGAGGCTCACAGAGCAGATTTTCATCCTCATGGCCCATTGGTGGTCCACAGTCCACAGATTAAGAACTACTGCTCTATAGGAAACCTTGGGATTGTTCAAGACAAAGAGTTTGTAATGTTACTATTCAGAATGTATTGACTAAGATCCTGCATTGTGTAGCATAAATATATACATGTAGAGTTATGCATTAATTGTGGTGCATAAGCCTTGAGTTGAATGACAGTGTTGGCACAACTGAGTCAAGGCACCAAATGTGCAATTGAACACACAGATTTATGTGTGTGCACCTTGACACACAATGTGCATCCAGATACAGTAGTATTATAAGAACAATTCCATTCCCACAATCTTGGTCCAAAATGTCTTAACTGCTTCCATAGGGGAATGCATGAAATACTAAAGGATGCATGTACACTAGAGACTTAATGTAGCCTGAACACCACTATAACTGCAAAGCTGTATGGAACGGAATGGTGGTAGTTGTAGTTTTACAAGGACTTCGCAAGCTTTCTCTGCCAAAGAGTGTTAGTGCCCCCAGTAAATTACAAATTCCAGGATTTCCTAGCATTGTGCCATGACAGTTAAAGTGATGCCAAACTGCATTAATTCTACAGTGCAGATACACTGTAAGATACCAACAAGATTTAGCCATTATGGTTTGGGTCTATCTTTTTCATTTTAAACAGATTTTGTGCATGTTTGTTGATAATAAGGGGGGGGGGGGAAATGAAAGAAGCATTGGGCAAAATCTGGGAGAGGATCAAATTGAAGGAAGTTTATGCAATCATATCAGAAACACATTCTCCTAAACTAGCAGGAAAAATGCACTGTCCTGGGAGACTAGAGAATTGTCTTTTCAGTCTAGAAGGGAGCTCACAAAGTGACCTGGGAAATGGAGGTAGGTCAGAGGTATTGTATTTCTTTAGTAGAGGAAAATGCATTATTATTATTAGGAAATGCTACATCCTTTCCATTCTGCGTAGTTCCTGGATGGCCTCTCATCCCAGGTGCCTCATGCACTATATGTTTTTGAAACTATAAGTCTGAGTGAAGCACATTCATGAAAGGAAGGAATAGAGAATCAACACATCTCCAGAAAGGGATTATAGGTAATTCTGAGGGGTGATGTATATTAAGTAGCTATTGATCATGCCAGAGGTCAGTATCTTGGAGTAATTTGACCCAAGAGGTTAATTGTGATAGAGGTCAATAGAAGACCAAAACATGCAATACATCAGAATGCCAAAGGGAATTGAGAGGTGAATTTATGGGGAATATTTAGTGTTCGCAGCACAGAGGAAATTAGACTGGATTGCTGAAGGGCAGATTTCTTAACTCCAGTTGCAATTCTTTGGTCTTCATCAATTTGGATGTGGCATTTGTGCATCCATATGACATATCTAGGCCCAAAGGTATTTATTTTTTATACTTCTGCAATGCCATCTTGTAGCATAGTTGTGTTGGAAATGTGGAGAGAAAGAGATCTCACTGCTACTGAATCTGAGTAGCTATTCTATCCTCAACATATGTAAGGAAAATAGGCAATATTATGTATACCAAAACTGCTTAAAAACAACAGGGACAGCCCAAAATACAAAATTTCAACAGCCACAGAATGACATCTAACTACCATTCATTTAAAGTTAGAGACAATAAAATTACAATTTCTAGGACACTTCAACAGACACACAAACCCTGCACCGTAATGCTGCACTCGCAGAGCTCAGGTGGTGTTGTATTTCAGTGTCAATATTGACTTTTGTGGAGAGGTGGCTGTAATACTGACTATGGTTTGTATGTTATCAGCCTCTGAACTAGAGATTTAAGAAAAATAGAGTCTGTCTGAAACTCTTTATTCAGGTACAATATTTCTTACCTGGAATTCTGAATTGCAAAATATTTCAGAATTCAAAATTGTCCACATGGGTAGCCTTCCAATATTTCGGTGTATACCACCTTTGTTACAAACAAAAAAATAGTAAATGCATTGGGTATGAAATTGCTTTTAGGTTATGTGTATAGGAGACACAAATGAATTTCACGTGTAGTCTTGGGACCCTTTTCCAAAAATCTCCTTGGGTATATGCAAGTATTCCAAACTCCCCCCACCCCCCATCTGAAATATGGGGCACTTCTGGTCCCGAGCATTTTGGATAAGGATAGTTGACCTGAATTAATATTTAGTTGGGACTATTTTTCGTCTGTCTCCATGCATTATTTCTATGTTTCTGTTCTTTTTATTCTCCAGGACAGTGAACTCTTGACTTTTAACATTTCCCGGCATCAGTCATGGTGGAGCGAAAATGGCCCTGGCTGTGTAAGAAAGGAGACCCCCATGGTAGGCCTCAAGGGCTTGGACAGCCATTCCTACGTCTCTGTGATCGGCTGTGCTTTGGAGTATCGCTACATTGAAGTCATGCACAGTGCACTGCAGATTCTGGTGGCGGTGAGTAGGTTCTGCCTGACCCCTGAATCCAAGGGGTGCCTTTTTGGGTTTTCCACCCCAAGTGTGTCTGTTCTGTGATCTATCCCTACTATTGCCAGTTCCCACATCTTCCATGGCCTTTTTTGCTCATTTCATGGAGACTGGTGTTCTTTGTTAAAGTTTCCTAGCATTGATGCCTAACATTGCTTGCCTGCACCAACAAAGCTGAACCTTTCTAAAATGGTTTGTGTCATTCAGCCCCTTGATAAGAAAGTCTAAGGAAAGGAAATGGGGATGTGTTGTTGTAGGTTATTTTGGGCTATATGGCCATGTTCTAGAGGCATTCTCTCCTGACGTTTTGCCTGCATCTATGGCAAGCATCCTCAGAGGTAGTGAGGTGACCTACAACAACCCAGTGATTCTGGCCATGAAAGCCTTCAACAATACATTGGAAATGGGAATGACTGTACATCTCTTTCCTTCTTCTCCTGAATCAGTCCTGTTTTTTAAAAAGTTCTTTGTATGTATATTATTTAATTTATTTAAACTATATCCTGCCCTGTGTCATAGCTTGTGTATGACCTTGGACTATCCTTTCTCAAACACCTTCAGCTATATTTTCCAATGACCATGTTGGCTGAGGGATTCTGGAAGTAATAACCCAATTTAACAGCAAGTTTACCAAATTGTGTAGTTCCAGATCACTTTTCAGGACGTAGAACAACCATTTCCCCTTGTGATTCTCAGTCCAGAGTGAATGAGGTTTCTCTCTATTGTATTAAGATGATTCCATGGCAACTGGGTGGTATTATTATTCACTGGCAAATTGATGCCACTGGATTGCTTCAGTGGGATAGCTCTAGCACTGTCTTCTAGATATCACCACTGGAGACTGTCATTTTGCCCACAGTCTTTGAACACTGAACTTACCCTGCCATAGAGGTGGCACCATGAGTTACTGCACTGGGTGACACCAAGCCTACTGATGCCATCACCTTGGCTTCTAATGAGGGTTCAAGTTGATTTGCACAGGATGTCTTAAACCTACACCTGTTGATAAACTCTACAAGCTAGCTGGCATTGCCCCCCCCCCCCCGATGTGTGACGGGAAGTTGCTGATAAATGTGAGAGAAATAAGGTTGAACACTGTGAAAGCCACCCACTGCATGGCTATCAGCCTCCTCCCAGTAGACTCAAATCAAGAAAAAACTTTATACCACTCCCCTTGGTGTCCCCCAGCAACAGTAAGGGAATCCCTCTGGGCAGCTAAACAGGAAATCCTAACTGGATGGCCCTCCGCGAGGGTCTTCCTCCAGGGGCAAACCAAGAATTGGCAACTTGGAAGTCCCTGAACAGACTCAGAAAAGTGGAGTGGGCAGATCAAAAGACGATCTGGCAAAATGGCACTACCTAAAAGAATCCCACACCTTGTGTGACTGTGGAGCAGAACAGACAACTCCGCATCTGTATGCTTGTCCACTATGCCCTGCCTCATGTACAGAGGAAGAATTGTTGGAGGCTACAGACAATGCCATTGCTGTTGCCTGTTTTGGTCAATTTTGCGCGCCTTCTATTTCTATCAGTTTTATACTAATTTATGCAATGCTTTTAATATGAAATAAAATAATAAAGTTGATTTGCCATAGGCCCCTTTATTTGTAAGGTGGTTGGAAATTAAGGACAATGAACTTTATTATGTTGGGAAGATGGGCAGAGGGAATCAAAGAGTATGGATGTGGTTGAGATACAGGTACGGCTCAAATCCAACAGCCCCAAACCTCCAGAAACTCTCAAACCTTTGAAAAAACACTTTGCAAGTTAATACTTTCTCATAATATGAAAGGGTCAAATATGTGTGTATTTTAGTTGTGTAAAGCAGTATCTTCACTCTTACTAATGAAGGCAACATACACGTACATAAGCACACAGGCAGGCAAACAGGCAAGCAAAAAAAGCAGACATTTCATAAAACCAGTAGGCAACTACTGTGCTGAAGAGCTCCTTTCAGTTCAGATACAAAGTTGGGGTGGGGTTGATTTGTTCATATAGAAGATCCAAATGACATGTCATGAACAGTTTTAGAAATTCCCCCTGGCTACTAAACAGTTTGGCTGAGCAGCATGGGGTGAGGACAGGCTGCCTGTCCAGAAGCATAAGGCCAGTGTTTCCTTGGGAGTGCAGACACATATTTTTATCTGCGTTGTTGTTGTGTATGTTTGAGTCATTTCCAACTTATGGAGACTGTAAGGCAAGACTTAAGATTTTCTGGCCTGAGAGGGTGTAACTTGCCGAAGGCCACTCAGTAGGTTTCCATGGTCAAGCAGGGAATCAAAACCAGATCTCCAGGATCCAGTTGACAAGCTGGAATGTGTCCAGAAGAGAGTGACTAAAATGGTCAAGGGTTTGGAGGACAAGCCCTGTGAGGAGCAGCTTAAAGAACTGGGCATGTTTAGCCTGCAGAAGAGAAGGCTGAGAGGAGACATGATGAGGGCCATGTATAAATATGTGAGGGAAAGTCATAGGGAGGAAGGAGCAAACTTGTCTTCTGCTCCCCTGGAGACTAGACTTCAAATTGCAGGAAAGGAGACTGCCTGAACATTAGGAAGAACTTCCTAACTGTGAGAACTGTTCAGCAGTGGAACTCTCTGTCCCAGAGTGTGGCAGAGGCTTCTTCTTTGGAGGCTTTTAAGGAGAGACTGAATGATGATCTGTCAGGGGTCCTTTGAATGTGATTTTCCTGTTTCTTGGCAGGGGGTTGGACAGGATGGCCCATGAGGTCTCTTCCAACTCTATGATTCTGTAATTCTAATAGAACAGTCAAAGCACCTCTAGAATTATAGAACTGCAGAGTTCGAAAGCCGCAAAAGTAATCTTGCCCAATCTCTTGAACAACCTATAACTAAAGCATCCCTGTCAGATAGACATCCATCTTCTGCTTAGAAACAAAGAAAGAATCCCCACCATTTAAAGAAGCCTGTTCTTCTCCCCTGTAGGTTCTACTGTAAGGAACATCTATATGAAGTTCACCTAAAATCCTCCTTGTATTTTGACCTTCAGTAAGGCCTTCAACAAGGTCCCCATGACCTTCTGGCAAACAAACTAGTCCAACGTGGGCTAGGCAAAACTACGGTGAGGTGGATCTGTAATTGGTTAAATGGACGAACCCAGAGGGTGATTCTCCCCAATGCTTCCTCTTCATCTTGGAAAGAAGTGACGAGCGGAGTGCCGCAGGGTTCCGTCCTGGGCCCGGTCCTATTCAACATCTTTATTAATGACTTAGATGAAGGGTTAGAAGGCAGGATCATCAAGTTTGCAGACGACACCAAATTGGGAGGGATAGCCAATACTCCAGAGGACAGGAGCAGGATTCAAAACGATCTTGACAGATTAGAGAAAGATGGGCCAAAACTAACAAAATGAAGTTCAGCAGTGACAAATGCAAGATACTCCACTTAGGCAAAAAAAACGAAATGCAAAGATACAGAATGGGGGACAATGCCTGGCTCGAGAGCAGTACGTATGAAAAAGATCTTGGAGTCCTCATGGACAACAAGTTAAACATGAACCAACAATGTGATGTGGCAGAAAAAAAAAAGCCAATGGGATTTTGGTCTGCATCAATAGGAGCCTAGTGTCTAGATCTAGGGAAGTAATGCTACCCCTCTATTCCGCTTTGGTTAGACCACACCTGGAATATTGTGTCCAATTCTGGGCACCACAATTCAAGAGAGATATTGACAAGCTGGAATGTGTCCAGAGGAGGGTGACTAAAATGATCAAGGGTCTGGAGAACAAGCCCTATGAGGAGCAGCTTAAGGAGCTGGGCATGTTTAGCCTGAAGAAGAGAAGGCTGAGAGGAGATATGATAGCCATGTATAAATATGTGAGAGGAAGCCACAGGGAGGAGGGAGCAAGCTTGTTTTCTGCTTCCTGGAGACTAGGACGCGAACAATGGCTTCAAACTACAAGAAAGAGATTCCATCTGAACATGAGGAAGAACTTCCTAACTGTGAGAGCCGTTCAGCAGTGGAACTCTCTGCCCCGGAGTGTGGTGGAGGCTCCTTCTTTGGAAGCTTTTAAACAGAGGCTGGATGGCCATCTGTCAGGGGTGATTTGAATGCAATATTCCTGCTTCTTGGCAATGGGGTTGGACTGGATGGCCCATGAGGTCTCTTCCAACTCTTTGATTCTATGATTAAAGCATCCCTATCAGATGGACATCCATCTTCTACTTAGAAACAAAAAAAGGATCCCCACCATCTAAAGAAGCCAGTTCTTCTCCCCTGTAGATTCTACTGTAAGGAACATCTATATGATGTTCACCTAAAATCCTCCTTCTTGTATTTTGAATCTACTGTCTAGTTGGGTTTCTTCCTTCTGGAAAAGAAAAAAAAGCTTACCCTAACCTCTATGTGCCAGGCATTCAGGTAGTTGAAGATGACAAATATTTGTTGCTATCTGCCATCAAGTTGACTTCTCCCTATGATGACTCAGTGAGTGAAGGACCTCCATGAACCCCACTCAACTCTTGCAAACTCAATGCTATGGCTTCCTTGATTGAATCACTCCACCTGTAATATGATCTTCCTTTTACAAAGTATTACCATCTTTTCCAATGAATCATGTCGTCTCAAGATATATCCAGAGTACAGTAGCCTTTAGCCATTCAGGCTTCTAGTGAGAGTTCAGGTTCAATTTGCTCTTGGGCCCATTTATTTGTCTTTTTTGTCAGCCCGTGATAACTGCAGACATTTCCTCCAGCACTACATTTCAGGCACAGTGATTTCCTTCCTGTCAGCTAGTTCCTCACATTTCAATCATCACTTTATTGAACCTAAACATCCCCCATCATCTCCGCCATTCATCACAGGACTTGTTTTTCTGATCCCTCACTGTATTTGTGACTCCATACCTATATCTGTCTGTTCATCTCTCTATCTTTTCAGCCAGACAGCTATAAAAATTGAATCATAGTTTATTCTTTTTACTAGTAGAGTGCAGATTTCCCCACTTTTTGAATT